GCAGGAAAAGTGTGTGTGCTGATGGGAGACGGTCAGTAGTTCAAATCCTCATGAGATTTATTGTATAACATAAAAATCTTAGACCACACATCCTCTGGCTTATTGTATTATTTTACACTCATGAACTTTCACCTGCTTGGATTTAATTTTTAGCCTCATTATCTGCTTCCCGGTTGCAGTCACACAAATGCAAGTAGCCATTGGCTTCTCTTAGGATCCCTTCTGTGTTTCTTTCCCCGAGCCTTGCTCCAGGGCTTGTCATAGCATGCGAGAGGAGTGATTCAGGGGTTCTCCCCTCCTCTAATCAAAGAATGAGCATTTTGCCTGTATCAACATGGTTGCCTCGGGGTTTACTTCCGATATTTATGGTTTGCCTCTATCAGCAAACTGCAGCTATTGACCTGAGGTGTGAATAGTAAAGATAAGGGTATAAATGCCATCCTAATTATAAAACTGACCTAATACATTTTTGTTCTTTTAGCACCAATTAAAGCTCTAACTTGTTTCATTTTTCCAGGCCATTGACGGTTTCACAGGAGGCAGTAGCAACAGCAACAACAGATGCTTAATACCTTACAACTTATCAAACCCATATTTTCACACCTAATATCATAAATCTAACACAAATACCTACGTTACGTTGAGTAACAGATGTTCGTGTGCAATGTTTTCAGCTTTTGTTTGCTATCTTACATTTCCCAGGTGTCAAGTGTTGTAAGAGGTTTCTTCCAGATTCTCTCCCGTGTTACATATTTTAGTTCAGCGTCATTGCAATATTTTTTCATTTGTGGTAAAATATATATTACAGAAAATTTACCATTTGAATCATTTTTAAGTGTGCAGTTCAATGGCAGTCACCTTATTGTGCAAACATCAACACGATCCATTTCCGGAACTTTCTTATCATCCCTACTGAAAGTCTATACTTACTAAAAACTAACTCCCCACTTACCCTGCCACCAGCACCTGGTAACTGCTGTTGTATCAGCTTGATTTTTGATCTGAGAAGAGAATTTTCTGTACTGTTTGATATATTTATTAGACATAGGACTTCAAGAAACCTGTTCAGCTAAGGTTTAGACCTTAATTAGAGACTCTTAGAAATCCCCGGAAGGATGATGGCTAAGGATGACAGCTAGGCAAGGTCTCCCTTTCTTGGTGAAGTGTGGGAAGAGAATGGTCACATTTCCACATGTCCCTTCCTGTGAGGCACTGGAGTTCTTTCTAAAAACTAAACCCGTCATCTGAGTGGGAGAGTTAGTCTCATGGAGTCATTTTATATCCAAAGAAATTGGTAATGATTTTAATACTCTACCAAATGCCTAAGGGTCATTTTTTATTCCTTTTCTTATTTGCCGTCTTTTTGTTTTTTCGTATTCTTGATTAATTCGTCTCCTTGAACTCACTTCTCTAGGTTCACAGCATATGATTTTTTCTTTCTTTCTTTATTCCTTTGATTACTCTTTCTCAAGTCACTCATCTACTTTCCCCGTCTTTCCCAAGGTTCTGTCCCCAGACTTTTCCTCTTCTTTTTCTTGTGCCGTGCCAGCACAGTCCCACAGAACTTTCTGCGATGATGGGAATAATCTATGTCTGTACCGTTCAGTATCGGAGCCACTAACCACATTCCTCACTGAGCACTTGAACTGTGGCTAATGGGACTGAAGAAATTAATTTTTAATTAATTTATTTTTTATGACTTTAAATTTATGTGAACACATGTGGCTGTTGGCTACTGTGGTCAGCATGCTTCTGTCCAGCTATGTCTCCTACGTCGTGTTCTCTAGTGTGGGCCTCCAGTCTGTCCCCGTCTACTGAACATCTGGTGCCCCTGATCCACCGCTGAGGTCCTGGTGCAAATTAGAAAAACGCAGTACCTCTGCACTCACTCCCTCCGCCCTCAAGCTGAGCATCAGCATAAAACACCATTTACATAGCACCCCCAGTTTTCAATGTGATTCTCCACTGACAATTCACTCTCAGTAAGGCCAATGGTGAAATCTTTACTTTTTTTCTGCCCAGCATCTCTCTTCAACTTCTGTTGCCTTTCTAAGTTGATGGCATCACCAATCCAAGCTGAAAACCTTTATCTTCAGTCTGTCCCAGTTCTTTACCATTAACCTCCCTTTGCTTACCAAGTTGTTAATCTACGTCTCAAAAGTATCTTAATTTCATGGCTTCCACTCCATTTCTAATATTTCACTGCCTTAGTTCACACCCACTTTCTGCCTCCACGGAACTTGTGAATCAGCCTTTCTGTGGGTGTTCTTGCCTTCCGGTTTCCCTCCTTCCAGTCTGCTCTCTGCAATGATATTAACACACAGCCATGTGACCTTGTTAATTTTCTCTTTAAACTTCTTTCAGGACAAAGTCCTAATTCTTTAGCTGTACAGAACATTGTTCTATAACCTGGGCCTTGGCTATCTTTTCAGTTTTGACTCTTGCTATCCCAGCATCCTGTGTCTCTCCATTCTCTAAACTTGAGCCTGTCTAATTTTTCAGTCCCCCAAACAGAGTGAGCTCTCTTATACCTCTTTACCTTTGCACGTGTTCATTTTGCTTTAAAATTTTTTTAAATTTTGCTTTGCAGTCTGCTGTACCTCCAACTCCAGACTCAGCTGCGAGTTCACTGCACTGAGGTCTTTCTTGACCTTTCTTTGCATCCTTACCCTGCAGAGTTAAGACTCTGTAGCATCTTGTATCTTCTGTTTATTATAATATTTTAGATACAGGTCAGTAAGACTGTGAACTTCTTGAGGATTAGGAGCATGTCATAGTCAGTATGCCTGGCATGTTTCAGAAGCACAATAAGTAAGATTGTTGTCATAACCATGATCAGCTTCTTAGTGCTGATTTTCTCCGAAGTATTTTCGAAGTCCTAATTCCCTTCTTAAGGTAGAAACATCTGATCATGCCGTAAAGCATTATATATAGTGTCCTTCTGGAAAAACATGCTAAAACCATGAATGTTTAGCCAAGCACTTTCAGAATGCTGAAATTTTATTTTACTTCAATTAGTGAGTATTTACAGTTTAACAAATATGGCTCTAGGACTTGTGAATAAAACACCTAATTATAAAGGGAAACCTATAAACACAGGTAAAAATAAATCTGAAATAGTCTAATAAGAAGAAAGTGGAGATGTGATTTATTTTAAGTTTCACTGACTTAAAGGACTATTGTTCAGATTATGGTGACCAGCTAATTTCAGTCTTCACTGAGGATGGAGAAAGAGGGAAATAATTTAAATAGAGGAATAGGGCATATGGATTAGACTCTAAAGAGCATTTCTGGATGGAGAAGATTATCAAATATTGGAATTGAAAGGTGAAAGGCTATCTTGTCTCCTAAATGCCCTTTACAAATGTTTGATACTTGTCTGTCTGGAAAAGCTTAGTGGGGCAGAGGGATCCTATCTCTAGGAACAGAAGGAAACTCCATCCCCTCTGTGTGGCCCGTCTATAACTTCTATGGGGCTATTTTTTTCCAATGGGAATAATCAGATTTCCTTACATACCTCAACGGAATAAAATGCTTCTGTTTTTGCTTTTATTGCTTTAGCCCTGTGGTAAATGTAGGTTAGGAGAATGAATGGCAAGTTTCTGCCCAGCACTGTATTACAGAACATACTTTCGAGTGTAACGTGTATAAACATACGTAGAAGGGTAGTGAACAGAGCATTCAAAAAATCTGAAAAATGAAACTGGGGTATTGCCTAAAAATTTTCCTGAGCATTTCTTATTTTTATTCATAAAGTTTTTCTCTTGGAAACCTGGAATCTTAATGATGTCATGCTATAGTTTGGTAACCTTTGAAGGATGCTGACATTTGAAGCGTGTATAGACATTAAAAACAAATGAAAACAAACAAAAACATCATACAAGCCCATCCTAGGAATTGAATGGAGGCTAAGAAATACAATTATGTGGCTCAACCAAACTGTTTCTTAGAAATGAATCTTTTCAGAATTCAGACACTGTGGGAAAAGGTAGAATAACTTTAGGATACGCTTTAGTCCAGAGGAAGTAGAATTATATCTCTTCAGAAAAGAGAATTAAAAGGAGATTTAGAATAATAGATGAGCCTTATCTTTCCAAAGTAGATACAAATTTGTGTGTAGACTGAATTTTTGTAAATCATGTGTTTTAAATTCAATACATCAATAATCTTCTATTTTAAGTCATACACTTTAAATTTAGTTATACCACTAGTCTTTTAAAATCTACCACCCCTCATTTTCTTCATTTACAAAGTTGTGTGTTACTATTTTTCTAACTTGTTCGTTTCCATTTGATTACATTAGTTCCTTTCCATGTTTCCTCTACA